GGAGGGCCGCCGCCCGGGAGCCGAACTCCCCCGCGGCGGCAGGCGACGACGACGACGGCGACGCCGACGACGACGCCGTCGACGCCGACGACGGCGACGACGGCGACGGCGACGGCGACGGCGACGGCGACGGCGACGATGACGCCGACGCCGACGACGACGACGGCGACGACGACGACGACGAGCAGCAGCAGCAGCAGCAGCAGCAGCAGCAGCAGCAGCAGCAGCAGCAGCAGCAGCAGAAGGGGCAGCAAGAGTGGATGCCTCCCAACTGGGGCCGGCCAGAGGAGCATATCGCACCGCCGCGCCGCCCACGCAGCTTGGACTGCACGCTTTGCACCGCGCAGCTTGCACCACAGTTTGCACCACACTGCTCAGGAAAGGAAAAGGTATCCACACCGCTACCCCTCCCTCGGCTTCCTGGTGTGGGGCCTCCTGGTCGGCCCTCGTCACCGCCGCTGGCTTCACCTCGATATCTTGGTCAGAACGCAGCCCGGAAGAGGTCTGGGGAGTAGCCGCATCGGTACCTTGTGGCTTCCCCATTTGCGATAGATGCACTGCTCACACCACAGAGTTTCCACTACATAAGTTGCACATGACATGGAAACATATAGCTTGCACCACGTAACTTGTGTCGCATAGTTTGCGCCACACGCACATTGCAACACACAGCTTGCGCCACAGAGCTTGCATCACATGGCTTGGACCACATTGGCTGCGCCACATGGTCTGCACATCCAGGGTGCTAATGCTCAGCGTTTCAGGCCCACGCTGGCAAGCACATTTTCTCGGGCTCCTCGCGCAGAGGCTGCCAGAGGTGGTCCCAGCCCACGGTGCCCCCGCTTCCCTCTGCCATTTTCGGCAGCCTTGCCACGTCCTGGGCTCATGAGGCGTGCGCTTAAGTAGGAAATTTCCGTTCAAAAATTTGAAGAAGTAGTCGGGGGACGATTTGTTTGACTATTTCGGATTATTTCTGGGTATTTCTTAACTGTTTTTAAGTTCTTATTCCAAAATCCGCCTGTAAGGGGACATGCCCGACCTAAGTGTGCGCCGGAGGCCCTGGAAAGGTGACTACCTGGACCTCCTGGGCCTCGCGAGGCGACCACCTGGGCCTCTCTTTAGGTCGGGCATGTCCTCCTACAGGCGGGTGTTGGGCGAAAATTGAACAACAGCAGCAATTATTCACAAGAAGTCAGAAATATTATAAAATCATCCCGAAACTACTTGTCTGATTCCCAACCATCCGGTGGTGTTGGGTCCTCGTTTTGAAGAGACAGCGCCCCGCGTTCCCACCTCCTCCCTCCTCCCTCCTGCCCCTCTCCCTCCTCCCTGCGTTTCACCCACCGAGTACAACGTTTCGTGTCCCCCATAGGGTGCTCCGCCGAAGGCCCCAGCGGCAGGGTCCGCATGCAGTTCCACCTCAATTTCGGCGCACCCCTCACACGTTTCGTGGCCCCCATAGGGTGCTCCGCCGGAGGCCCCAGTGGCAGGGTCCGCATGCAGTTCCACCCCCATTTCGGCGCACCCCTCACACGTTTCGTGGCCCCCACAGGGAGCTCCGCCGAAGGCCCCAGTGGCAGGGTCCGCATGCAGTTCTATCCCCATTTCGGCGCACCCCTCACACGTTTCGTGGCCCCTATAGGGTGCTCCGCCGAAGGCCACAGTGGCAGGGTCCGCATGCAGTTCCACCTCAATTTCGGCGCACCCCTCACACGTTTCGTGGCCCCTATAGGGTGCTCCGCCGAAGGCCCCAGTGGCAGGATCCGCATGCAGTTCCATCCCCATTTCGGCGCACCCCTCACACGTTTCGTGGCCCCATAGGGTGCTCCGCCGAAGGCCCCAGAGGCAGGGTCCGCATGCAGTTCCATCCCGATTTCGGCGCACCCCTCACACGTTTCGTGGCCCCTATAGGGTGCTCCGCCGAAGGCCCCAGTGGCAGGGTCCGCATGCAGTTCCACTTCCATTTCGGCGCACCTCTCACACGTTTCGTGGCCCAAAGGGAGCTCCGCAGGGTCCGCATGCAGTTCCACCCCCCTTTCGGCGCACCCCTCACACGTTTCGTGGCCCCCATAGGGTGCTCCACCGAAGGCACCAGTGGCAGGGTCCGCATGCAGTTCCATCCCCCTTTCGGCACACCCCTCACACGTTTCGCGGCCCCATAGGGTGCTTCACCCAAGGCACCAGTGGCAGGGTCCGCATGCAGTTCCACTTCCATTTCGGCGCACCTCTCACACGTTTCGTGTACCCACAGGGTGCTCCGCCGAAAGCCCAAGTGGCAGGGTCCGCATGCAGTTCCACCCCCATTTCGGCGCACCCCTCACACGTTTCGTGGCCCCTATAGGGTGCTCCGCCGAAGGCCCCAGTGGCAGGGTCCGCATGCAGTTCCACCTCAATTTTGGCGCACCCCCGGAACGTTTCGTGGCCCCATAGGGTGCTCCACCGAAGGCCCCAGCAGCAGCGCCCGCATGCGGTTCCACCCCCATTTCGGCACACCCCTCACACGTGTCGTGGCCCCCACAGGGAGCTCCACCGAAGGCCACAGTGCTGCGTTCGCATGCGGTTCCACCCCCCCATTTCGGCACACCCCTCACAAGTTTCGTGGCCCTACAGGGTGCTTCGCCGAAGGCCCCAGTGGCAGGGTCCGCATGCAGTTCCACCCCCATTTCGGCGCACCCCTTGCACGTTCCGCGGCCCCATCGGGTGCTCCACCGACGGCTCTGGTGGCAGCGTCCGCATGGCGTACCCGTGCCAATTCTGGCACACCCCGTCACACGCGTCGTGACCCCAGAGAGGTTCACCGAGGTCGATGCCCACAACCGCGTCACTCACAACTGCACATGGTTGGGCCCCTCGCCAAGATAAATTATTTTTGGATTGTCGTCCTGTAGAGGGAGCGAAAGAAGGACGTACATGTACATGAATCCACGTTGGTTTCGAGAGCACGCATGGCACAAATGTCCGTATAACGCGGCCGGTCTCGCGAACCGAGGGGCCATGCTCATGTACATAGCTGGGCGCGTACGTCCTTTGTGGGCTCCCTACTGTAGAGGGACATGCCCGACCCGGGCCTCCCTTAGCACCGAGGCCACATCCCACCTTAGCAGAGTGGTGGGCCGCGCATAACAGCAAAAATCGTCCACGTCTTGAGTCAGTTACTGCACCTCATTCCTTGCCCGACCCGGGCCTCCCTGGGAGAGGCCCAGGCCTCCTGCTGGCCAGGGGGCCGCCCCTCGGCAGCAGAGCCCGCGGCGCGCCGGCGCGGGGCGCCCTCGGGCCACGGCGCCCCCCCCCTCCTCCTCGGCAAGAGCGTGGGAGCCGCAGGAGGCGGGCGCTGCGCGGTGATGGGCTCGGGGGTGGACGGACCTCCTACTCCAGATCTCGTAATAAAAAGGGAGGGGGTCTGGACCCTCCAGGACAGGCCATTTCAGACCCCCCCCCCGTGGGAGAACCCTCCCAAACATCGTCCCCAGACCCCGCCAGGCCCTCCAAGATAGCCTGGATGAGACCCCCCCCCCCCCGAAACGAGACCCCTCTCCCTTTATTACGAAATCTGGACTACCCTGACGCGTCGAGTGAGGAACTGGCCGTGTTCGCTTCGCGAGAGGGCGTCGCGGCCGTCATTGTTGCGGGTCCGGGTCCGTCTGTTTCGGTCCCAGGCCGGTTTCACTAAGGGGAGGTCTACTAAAGGGAGGCTTGTCCACCGCCGACTTAAGATGATGCAAGAAAAACGCTGGGGGCGTTTTGTGTTCCCCTGTTTTCAAAATCGGCGTTTCCTTTCCGTTTTGTGTGCAGTTTCCTTTCCGTGTTGGGATCGCCGTCTCGCCGTTGTCGGTTCGTGTTGCGATCCGTTTTTGATTTGTTTTCAATTGCCGTTTTGTGCCCGTTTTCGTCGCGGCAGATGTCGTTTTGTTTATGCTTTGGGTTGTTGTGTTTGTTCTTTTTTGGTCGACCGCGGCACCAACAGTTGAACACGGGACCAAAAAGCCCCCCGCGTTTCTCAGAACAGCTAAGTCAGGGCGGGGCGGCAAATGAGGTGTTCCAAAAGAGGCCTCGCTCCTTCAAGAGGCGAAGGAGTCGTCATCTCTTCCGCCGCGGAGGGCGGCGGCGAGGCGGCGGAAGGTCGGCGGAGGCAGAACGAACAATGACATAAGCACATGAGCTCGGAGGTCCCAGCGGATGTCTCGGATCGGCGCTGGACCCCTCTTCCCGGCGAGCGGAGCTATTGTTGAGCATGTTTTGGCTATTTGTTATTGTTCGTCCATATTCCGCCTGTAGGGGGGCATGCCCGACCTACGCGTAATCGTTCTCCCCCAGTTCCTCCCACTGCGGTTGGCGTTGCAAAGACAGCGTGCGAAGCGGCCCTGCGGGCCCGCTTATTTAATCGCTTCGCTCATGCCGCCGGCCCTGGAGCCCTCTTTAGGGCCTCTTGGGGGCCTCTTGGGGACCTCTTGGGAGTCTCTTGGGGCTCCTTGGCGGCGTTTTGGAGGCCCCCAGGGCCTCTTGGGGGGCTCTTGGGGGTAGCGCCTCTGGCCCGTTGGGCCGGCGAATTACACGCTATCCCCCACCTTGGGGATAGCGTGCGCCGACGAAGCTCTGGCAGGGGGCTGGCGTGCACGGGAGGGGCCCTCGCGGGGGGAGCCGTCTCGCGGGGACAGCGGGGCTTTCGAAGATCGACGTGGCGCGCTGTTCTTCCAACGCCAACCGTAAGCAGCTCCCGCAATCGACCAAGAACCAAACGACACCACCCCACCTGCAACCCGCTAGGTCTTAGGTGGGTCGTAGGCCCTCCTCCTCCTCCTCCTCCTCCTCCTGCTCCTGCGCCTCCTCCTCCTCCTCCTCCTCCTCCTCCTCCTCCTCCTCCACCTCATCCTCATCCTCCTTCCCCTTCCCCTTCCCCCTCCTCCTCCGGGTTGATGTGGTAGGTGGGTCGTTGGTTGGCAAGTGCTCATCGCTGGGTCCCAGGTGGGGTGGTGCCGTCTGTTCTCTGGTCCGCGCAGGAGTCGCTGGCGCGGTTCTGCGACGACCCGGAGCCGATGGTGGCCGAGAGTTGCCTGGTGGCCCTGGACACCGCCGCGTATCCTTGACCGCCTGTGGCGCCACTCCGCCGGCCAACTGGGCGCGCGCCCCCACCCCCGCCAGGGTTTGGGGGAGGGGAGCAGTGGCGAAGCGTCCTGGCGTGCCTATAGGTAGGCCTACCAAACAATGACTTGAGAACTTTTTTGCGGTTTCCACGAACTGTTCTTAGAACAGCTGGGTCCCCCTAGCGGCGCCTCCGGCGCCGCCCCTGGCGCGCAAAGCGCGCCAGGGAGGGGGGGTCCAGCGCCGATCCAAGAAATCCGCGCGGAGCGCCGCCAAAAGTTTGTGTTCATGGCGTTCTTGCTTCTCGGTAGAGGGAGTTGAGTCGCTTCCGGAAGTGGCCGAAAGACTCCCTCTGGCAGGGCGACCCTTCCGCTCCGGCGAGGCGGCTCTGCTCGGCGGATCGCCCGGGTCGGCCATGCGCGGAGTGGGGCGGGGGGAAAGGGGGAGGCTTATGGGAAGCACCCCTGCTCCTCCTCCTCCCCCTCCTCCCCCTCCTCCCCCTCCTTCTCCTCCTCCTCCTCTTCCTCCTCCTCCTCTCCTCTTCCTCCTTCTCCTCTTTCTCCTCCTCCGCCTCCGCCTTCGCTTCCGCCTCTTCCTCCTCCGTCGGCCGCGTGTCTGCCGCGCGCTGGAAGCATTTTGATCGGGAGCCGGCGCAACCCCCAAACCCCAGGACAAGCACGCCGCTGAGCGGCTAGCAAGCCCCGGAGCCGAGGGGGCGCGCCGACCGGGGCCTGTACCTCGCATGCGCGGGAGCACGGCGGCGACGGACAACATGGAGTAGCCGAGCGCGAGCGCCTGTCGCCCGCCACTGGCAACGTCCGCAGCTCTGGGCCCGCCAGCCGCCGTCGGGTCCCCGCGGCCCGGCGCCCTCCTCCTCCTGCTCCTCCTGCTCCTCCTCCTCCTTCTCCTACTACGACTACTACTACTACTACTACTACTACTGACTCTACACTACTACTACTACTACTACTACTACTACTACTACTACTACTACTACTACTACTACTACTACTACTACTTACTACGACTACTACTACTACCACTACTACTACTACTATACTACTACTACTACTACTATACTACTACTACTACTACTTACTACTACTACTACTAATACTACTACTACTACTACTACTACTACTACTACTACTACTACTACTACTACTCTACTCCTTACTCCTACTCTACTCCTACTCCTACTCCTACTCCTCCACTCTCTCCTCCTCCTCCTCTCCTCCTCCTCCTCCTCCCCTCCTCCTCTCCCTCTCTCCTCTCATCCTCATCCTCTCTCCTCCTCTCCTCCTCCTCCCATCCTCTCCTCTCCTCCCCTCTCTTCCCTCTCCTCCTCTCCTCCTCCTCTCCCCTCCTCCTTCTCCTCCTGCTCTCGGCCTCCTTCCGCCCTCGGACAGGCAAGGAACGGCCCCAGTCTGCCCTCACGTCCCAGGTTGGAGTGGTGGGGGGGCGCCGGGGGGCATTGAATGACCAGATGTGGAACGCGTGCCTCCCTCAAACAAAAAATAAATAAATGTGGGTCTTCGGGTTGGGTTGAGGTCAGGCCAGGTCAGGTCAAGCTTAAGGCTTGACATGACCGGGGGGCGCGGGCGCGGGCGCGGCTGTGGTGCCGGAGCCATGCGGCGGGGGGGGGGGGGGGGGGGGGCGTTACGTCATACCCCCCTCCGCCCCCCCTTCCCCCCATGACGCCCGGCATCGCCGAGCATAGAGAAACGCGCTCCTTGCACCAGACGGTGCGTGAGCAGAGGAAGAGTGGAGAACTCTCGGAGGCATTCAGCACCCTCTCCGGCCCCTGACAACCCGGCTCCTGCTCGCGCGCCTTGCACCGCCCTCCGGGCGGGAGCAGTCAGCGAGACTCAGGAGAGAAAGAAACACACAGACACAATAAATCGTCGACTCCCAGGAAAAGATGGGAAAATACGGGAAGTGGGGGGGGGAAGACAAAAACCCAGAAAACATGGGAAAATATGGGGGATCCTGCTACTTGTGTGTATTTATTTGTGTGTCCCAGCGCCCCTTCAGAGATGCGCGCGTGTGAGCCGGCCACTTCCCTGCCGTTGCGCACTGTACTCGATGCCTTCACGTTTTTGACGAGGCCGGCCTCGCCTCCGCGGGCCGGTCGGCCGGGGGCCCGGCAGGCAGCCACAACAAGGGCAAAACTCAACAAAAAGAACACCCCCCTCCTCCCTCCCCAGACCCCCTCGAGTAATGAAAAAATCACGACGGGAGGTTTTTCCCAATTTTCGGCCTCCGGGGGCCCTCACTGGGCCTCGGGAGCGTCAAAAAACGACTCAGGATGAAAAGCCGGTCATGGGGAAAGGGTCGGGACCTCTGGGGGTCGACGTAATGAAAAAATCATGACGTCGGGGGTCTGGGTCCACCTCCTCCTCCTCCTCCTCCTGATCCTCCCTCCCCCCGCCTCCTCCTCCTCCTCCCTCCCCCTCCCTCCCCCTGATCCTTCTCCCCCCCCCCCTCCTCCCCACCCGCGCCCCCTTCCCCCCCTCCCGCCATCGAGCGTCGCTCTGCTGGGACGCGCCAGCCGCAAAGGGAACGCGCTGCTTCGCGATCGGGGGCCCGCTGCCGACTTCGAGGCGACGCTCCCCCTTCCCCCCGCCAGCCCAGACCCCCGACGTAATGATTTTTTCATTACGTCGACCCCCAGAGGTCCCGACCCTTGCCCCATGACCGGTTTCTCGTCCTGAGTCGTTTTTTGACGCTCCCGAGGCACGGTGAGGGCCCCCGGAGGCCGAAAATTATGAAAAACCTCCCGTCATGATTTTTTCATTACTCGAGGGGGTCTGGGAGCCCTCCTCTCCCCGAGTCGGCACCCCCGTCTCGCCCCCTTCTCTCGTGCCGCACGGCGCCTCAGAGTGCGCAGGAGTTCGGCGCAGCGCGGCTCCGCAGGTGCTCCCCTGGTTCCCACTCCCGCCCTGCCACTCCCTCGGGGGGGGGGGGGCAATCACAGGAGGAGGGACTTTGGATTGCGCGCGCGGTGAGCCTGGCGGCTGTCGCGAGAACAGGAGGAGGGGGGAGGGAGGGAGGAGGTGCAGTCGGGGCGTTGAAGAAGGAACCTTTTGCGTTGGGGAGGGGCTCGGTGTGCCTGAATTGTTCACACACCCTGCCTCAGGTTTTCCTGAAGTTTTCGATGGGACGTCGAAGCTTAATGTATGGAAAAGAAGGGGCCTCGTTCCTTATTTAGGGCTCCTTGGGTCAACGCCTCGACTGTGTCGGGAGGGGGAGGGGGGGAGGGAGGGGGAGAGGTAGGGGGAGAGGGGGAGGGGGGAGGGAGGGGGGAGGTAGGGAGGAGGATGGGGGGAGGGAGGGAGGAGGTGGTAGGAGTAACTGCGCAGCTTCTCGGCGCGCCGCGAAGCCTTCCCAGAGTTCTGCTTCCCGGCGGTCGGCCCTGCCGAGCCCCATGGGGGGCCTCCAGAGGCTCGGACGGCGGACGCAGACGATGGGATACAGTCGGGGCCCTGAAGAAGGAACCCTTTGCGTTGGGGAGGGGCTCCGTGTTCCTTCATTGTTTCACAGCTTCCCTTTGGTGTTCCTTAGGTGTTCGATGGAAAATCGAATTTTAACTGATGGGAAAAGGGGCCTCGTTCCTTATTTAGGGTTCCTTAGGTTCACGCCCCGACTGTACACAGGGAGGCGCATCGGGGCCGGACATGGGCCGGACATGGGCGGCGGACGCAGATGATGGGATGCACGGGGCTCGGCATCGCTCGGACGTGTGCATTTTCCTTCGGCGAGGACCATCGAGGAGCACCCTTGATCATTTGGCGAAAAAGCAACGCACGAAGCCGAACAAAAACACAGGAAATGGACGTCCGAGCGATGGCTGGTGAGTAAGGATCACTTACTTTTCAAAAGGGGCTCGGTCGTTCCTTAAGGCTTGCATGCGTTACGTATCCTTCCTTATGCGCTTTGTTTTTATTATGTTTCGTTCCTTATGTTTTTTTCTTCTTGGAAAACAGGCGCTTCGTTCCTTATTTGTCGTTCCTTAGGTCAGGTCGATGACTGTAATTACACAGGGAGGTGTATCGGGGCCGGACATGGGCGAAAAAGCCGAGGGCAGGAGGACCCCTTTCGCCCTCTCTCGCCCTCCGACCCCCCCCCCTGTTGTCCTGAGATCCGACGCTGCCAGACAAGTGCAGCATCGCAAATGATGTTGCCTCGGGCGATCCCCGCCGAAACGTTCAGCGTTTGTTCCCGACGGCGCGCGGTCGCCTAATGGGTCGACGGCTGCCATTTCTAAAGTCAAAACGGTCCAACCGTGTTCCGTGTAGTCCTGCTATTGCATGCTAAGCTCTAGTATGTCCGGCTCTGTTCTCGACGGACCGGCGTGACGTCGTGGCGCCTGTGACGTTACATGCGTCGTCTGCTATGATTTTTCATTTCATGTATGCGTCTCTCTTCTGATTGACTATGTTATGTTGTGCTCATCTCCATCACCATGTGATTTGAGATGTTATGGTCTGATCTGCTCTGTAGCATGACATGATATGTCATGTCAGGTGATGTTCTAATATGCTATGCTCCATGACGCTGTTGACCGCCCGTTCCAATGTACAGAATGACATGTTCTGCTAGTCGGTTTCGTTTTGCTCGGTTGTCGTGATCTGATGTGTTCTGCGATGCTGCCATGATACGATATGATATGTTATGTCATGGTGTGTTATGTTATGCACGGCTCGGTTATGGTATGTTGTGTTATGTCGTCGTGTGTTATGTCATGTTCTGTTCGGGTCTGTTTTGTGATGCTCGTTTTGTTGACGGGCTGGCTCTGTGTAGGACATTATGAATCGTTCTGCTAGTATGTGTCGCTATGCTCTGCTGTCGTGTGATGATATGGTCTGTGATGCTGTGCCATGGTATGATGTGGTATGTCAAGGTATGTTATGTTATGCTCGGCTCTGTTATGGTAAATTTTGTTATGTCGTTTTCTGTTATGTCATGTTCTGCTCTGGTATGTTATGTCATATTATGTTGTTTCGACGTCTCGGCTCTGTAGAGTATAGTATCGTTTGCTCTGCTGGTATGTGTCGCTCGGCTCTGCTGTCGTGTTAATATATGATATGCGATGCTGTGCCATGATATGATTCGGTATGCTACAGTTCGTTATGGTATGCCCTGCTCTGTTATGGTATGTTGTGTTATGTCGTTTTATGTTATGTAAGTGTCTTCCCTAGTCTGTTAAGCGTTGTGATGGTATGCTGAATGCTGGCAATGGCATTGCTATGTTATGTTATGATATGTTCTGTCATGCTCATGTTCTGTTATGTCATGTTTTGATGTGCTCTGTCGTGTTGTTCGTCGCTCTGCTCTGCTCTGCTGTCGTGTGATCATATGTTCTGCTTAGCTGTGCCATGATATGATATGTTCTGCCCAGGTTCGTTATGATATGTTCGGCTCTGCTTTGTTATGTAGTGTTCTGTCGTTTTCTGTTCTGACATGTTTGCGCTGGTATGTTCCGTGATGTAATGTGTTGCTAGGCTTTGCATGACAGTGGTATGGTTTGTTTGGCCATTGTCTGTCATGCTCGCGTTATGTTCTGTCATGTCGTGTGGTGTCATGTTGTGATCTGTCGTGTTCGTCGTCGATCTGCTGTGTTGTCGTGTTTTCATATGAGTTGTGATGTTGTGCCATGAAATGAAATGGTTTGCAAAGGTGTATTCTGTTATGATTGGCTCTGTTATTATATGTTGTGTATTTGTCGTCGTCTGTTATGTCATGTTTGTCTGTACTATGTCATGTAATGTTATGGTATGCTTAAGTTTGGCCATGACGTTGTTATGTCCTGTTCTGTCATGTTCTGTCATGCTCGGGTTCTGCTCTGTCATGCTGTGGTGTGGTATGTTGTGTTCTGTCGTGTTCGTCGCCGCTCTGCTTTGCTGTCGTGTTACGCTATGTGATGTGAAGCTGTGCCATGATATGATATGGTATGTCAAGGTGTGTTGTGTTATGCTCGCGGCGGTTATCTTATGTCGTGTTCTGCCGCCTTTGGTATGTAATGTTCTGCTCTGGGATGTTATGTGATGTTATGTTGTGCTTTGATTTGTCATGATATTGTCACGTTATGTTCTGCCATGGTCTGTAATGCTCTTGTCATGTTATGCCATGTGATGCTGTGGCATATCTTTTTATGTCATGTTCGTCGTCGCTATGATAGGTTGGCATGTTGTTATATGATTTGTGATGCTGTGTCATGATGCGCGTTGTGATTTCAATGCGTGTTGTGCTATGCTCGGTTATGTGTTGCTATGTTATGTTATGCCATCGTCTGGTATGCCATGTTCTGGTATGCTATGTGATTTTATGATATGCCCTACTTTGTCATGATATTGGTATGTTCGGTTTCGTCATGTTCTGTGATGCTCTGTTCCGTTCTGTCATGTTCTATTACGTCATGTTGTGTTCTGTCGTGGTCATCGAGGGCGCGAGGTGGGACACTGGGGACTCTCGGGGATCATCGGGTCAATTTGGGGTCTGGCGGCTGCGGTATGCAGGCTGGGGTTGGCCGGGCGCGAGGCGGGACACCGGGGATTCTCGGTGATCATCGGGACAATGTTGGGTCTGGCGGCCGCGGTATGCAGGCTCGGGTTGGCCAGCGGGCCTGTTCTTGAAACCTAACGGCCCCAGTTTGTCGGACGGGGAAAAATCACGACCACAGCCCTGGTCCCCATCTTTCTGCGTCATTGTTCGAGCCCGATCGATCTGTGAGTGTCCGGGGGCACGAAATTGAGAGAAGACGCCCGGTGCGACAAAAATGCAACGCAAGGATCTCAGGGTCTTTCTATGCTCCCACCACCCCACGCCACGAAGCAAAAGCTGCCTGCCCGAGCTCTCGCCCAGGCGATGCTCGGGGATGTCCCGTGTTCGCCAGTCGGGGCCGCTCGGGAGACCTCGGGGGGCGAGGAACGTCTCAGATCGCACAGGCATCTGCAATGGCCCACCAGGAGCTTCAGACTCCTCCCAGACCTCCCCGCCCCCCTGGCGCGGGGAGGACCATGGAAGAGGTGGAGCAGGCAAGGGGCGGCGGAGGATGTGCGCCGAGGATCGAGGTGGGGTGAGCAGGGAAGACGAGGAGCAGCAGGAGGCGAGACAGAGGAGGAGGAGGAGGAGGAGGAGGAGGAGGAGGAGGAGGAGGAGGAGGAGGAGGAGGAGGAGGAGGAGAGGGAGGATAATGAAGGAGGAGGGAGGAGGAGGAGGATGAGGAGGGGGAGGAGGAGGAGAGAAAGAGAGGAGGGAGGAGGAGGAGGAGGAGGAGGAGGAGGAGGCCAGGGAAGGGCGAGGCCGGGGCTGCTCCCACCCTCGCCCTCGGACGACTGACGGCCCTGCCGCCCCCGCGGGCCTGGGGCCCCCCCGTGGGGGGCGGGCCCGGCGGACTGGGAGGCGTGGGAGCAGCTGGAGCGCCGCATCCAGGAGCAGGGGTGAGCGGCGCCGCTGCGAAAAAGCGCGGGCGAGGAGGAGGAGGAGGAGGAGGAGGAGGAGGAGGAGGAGGAGGAGGAGGAGGAAGGAGAGGAGTGGGAGGAGGAGGGGGGGGAGCAGGAGCAGGAGCAGGAGCAGGAGGAGAAAGGGGGGAAGGGAGGTCTGAGGTGGGAGGAGGCGGAGGAGGAGGAAAAAGGAGGAGGAGGAGGAGGAGGTGCCGATCTGGCCCACCCACCACGCCTCGGCACGGCACGCTAACCACGTCTCCATTCCCACGCGTCAGCATCATGAGTCTTTCGAAGCATCCCGCGGAGCGGAGCGACTCGCCATCGGCTCGCAGGGCCTAGGCTGCGTCTTGGCGCCCCCCGTGGGCAGAGCCGTGGCCGCTGCGACACCTCACTGGGGGTGCGTCGTCCTGGGGGACCGTTTGGCCCTTCCCAAATCGTCGCCACTGCCGCCGTCGCCGTCGATCGATCGATCCAGGGATCGACGTCTCTGGCCGTCTTCGGACACTCTGTGTTGCCTCTGGGGCGCGCCCTCGTGTCCACGGTGGGCCCCCGGACGGGTCTACCGTCGTTGCCCTTGCCGTCCCCGTCGACGCCGCCGCCATCGTCGTCGTCATCGTCGTCGTCGTTGTCGTCGTCTTTGTTTACGTCGTCGCCCCGGTCGTCGCGGTCGCGCCCCTTCTCGCCAGCGTGGTCGTTTCGTTGTCGCCGTCGCCGTCATCGCTACGGACGGCGTCGGACGACGACGATGAACACGACGGCGGCGGCGTAGGTGGCGGCAGAGGCGATAACGACAATTGCGGCGGAGGCGACGGCGGCGCCGACGGCGACGGCGACGGCGACGGCGACGGCGACGGCGACGGCGACGGCGACGACGACGACGACGACGACGGCGACGGCGACGGCGACGACGACGACGACGACGACGACGATGGTGTCGAGGACGAGCACGACGACGACGATGGCGTCGACGGCGACGACGACGACGACGATGACGACGACGACGATGACGACGACGACGGCAGCCACGACGAAGGGCCGCCAGAAGGGCCGCTGGACGGCCCCCAGAAGGACCGCCGCAGGGCCGCCGAAGGGCCGCCGGAAGGGCCCCCGAAGGGCCGCCAGAAAGGTCCCCTACCCAGATCCCCGACGCCATGAGTTTTTCAATACGTCGACCCCCGCAGTTCTCGGCCCACTCCCCGGAAGCGGTCTCTCCTCCCGGGCCGTTTTTGGACCGTCCCGAGGCCCGGTAAGGGCCCCCCGAGGCTGGAAATAGCGACAAAAACCTTCTGTCATGATTTTTGTTCACGACCCGAGGGGGTTTGGGTACGCCCTACTTGCGCGCCACTATGCCGCCGCCGCGCCGGCGGCGGCGGCTGCCCCGCAGGTGGTGCGGGGCGGCCGCGGGAGCGCCCTGCAGCAGGCGGGGGCTCTCTCCTCGGGGGAAGGGGGCGCCCTCAGCGAGGCGGGGCGTTGGCGTCGTCGGCGTTGACGTCGTCGTCGTCGTCGTCGCCGTCGCCGTCGCCATCGTCGTCGCCGTTGCCGTCGCCGCCGCCGTCGCCGTCACCGTCGCCGCAATTGTCGTCCTCCCAGACGCGCTCGCTTCGTAAGAAAGTCTGGTCGAAAGGCTGCTGGCCGTTTGCGGCCTCCTGGGGCCCTCGGTGGGCATCTGGGCCGTCGAAAAACGGCTCAGAATGAACAAAAAAACGGCCCCGGGGAAAGGGTCGTGACTTCTGCGGGACGCGCACTGAGAGATTCAGGACGTCGCATGTCTGGGCTGGATTCGGCGACCAGTTGCGCATTCTACCCCTGCGGGTCCACTCAACGCAGGGGTAACGGCGTATCTGGAAGCCCCGCTGGGTGGGGCTCGCTTGGCTGCAGACATCCGTCGGACTCTCAGCCCCAGCCAGCGTTTCAGAAAGCTGACCTGCAGGGGCAGGCTCACGTGTGGTTGCCTGTTGTTGCCGAGGCCACCGTCGTCGCCGTCACCGTCCAGGGGGGCCGCCACGTCGTCGGTATCACCGGCGTCGAAGGCGTCGTAGTCGCCGTCGACCCGGGCGTCGGTGTCATGCGCGTCGTCCGAGGAGGATGCGAGGAGAGGCGAGCCAGTGAGCTGCGGGGGCGAAGGTGGTGCGAAGGTTTTGGCCCACCCGACAGGTTAGGGGTGCTAGATTTGCGGCGAAGAGCTCCCGAGCCACCTCGCACACCCTGCATGCAGTGGCTCCGGGCCTCCTGGATGGGGTCTGAGTAGATGGGGTCTGCGCGAATCGCCGATGCATCGGCGATGCGGCTCGATGTGGAGCCAGTGTTTCCCCACGCCGACGTCGCCGATGCATCGCTGATGCATCGCCGATGCATCGCTGATGCATCGCTGATGCATCGCCGACATATCGGCGATGCATTGGCGATGCGGCGCGATCCTTCGACCCCATCTACTCGGACCCCATCGGGGAGGCCTCCAGTGGCCTCCGTGCCCTCATTGTGCCAGCGCTCCCGGGGTATCCCCCTCGTCTCGCTTCAGTGCCTCCCCCCCAGACCCCCGACGTCATGATTTTTTCATGACGTCGACCCCCAGAGGTCTGGACCCATTCCCCAGGACCGGTTTTTCGTCCCGAGTCGTTTCCTGACGGCCCCGAGGGCCGGCGAGGGCCCCCAGGGTCCAAACATAATGAAAAACCTCCCGTCATGATTTTTTCATTACTCGAGGGGCTCTGGGCCTGCTGCCCCCCCCCCCCCCCGGGCCGCGCACGTGCCTCGGGCCGTGACCTGCGAGCCCCCCTCGACCGAGGCCATGGAGGTCTCGGCCGGGTGAGGCCCGGCAGGGGCCGAGGTCGGCCAGGCCGAGGCTGGCTGCGCCGAGGGGCGGCCCTTGCCAAATGCACCCTTTCGCAACCCCCGAACTCCCCAGACCCCCTCGAGCAATGAAAAAATCACGACGGGAGGTTTTCCCTAATTTTCGGCCTTTGGAGGCCCTAGCCGGCCCTCGGGAGCGTCAAAAAACGATTCAGGATGAAAAACCGGTCCCGGGGAATGGGTCGAGATCTCTGGGGGTCGACGTCATGAAAAAATCATGACGTCGGGGGTCTGGGAACTTTGGCCAAGTTTCGCCTGGCTCGGGCCGGGCGAAAGGGGGGGATTGGGAAAGGCGGGGTTACGAAATTTGCCGCATGCAGCTGGTTTCGGCCCCACCGAGGGGCCCCTTCCTCGATACATGGCCGCCTCCGGCGCCGGGAGGCGCCGGGAAAATCAGCTACGCGAGCTGATTCTCAAACCCCCCCCCCCTTTGCTATCCCCCCCGTTCGCCCGACCCGAGAGCTCTGGCCAAGTTTCGCCTGGCCAAGCTCGGCCTGGCCGAGCTTGTTCTGGCCGGGCTTAGTCACTGCCCCCCTGAGGTCTGTTAGTTCTTAAAATAAGACCGTAGTTGCTCTAACATGCAAAATAACATGGTGTTCTTATTATAAGATCGTGTTACATGTTGTAACATATTTCTAGATTATAATATTGCAATGTATAATGTTTTGATGTCAAAATGTTGAAACTAGGAAATTAATCGATAAATTTCATATTTTCAGCATTTTCGATTAACTTATGCATGTGTGCGCGTGTTCTCGTTCGCACCGCATCGAAGAATGACAGCGCTGCCCTTGAGTTCCAGATTGACGAGAGAGGGAAAAGAGAGCAGAAAAGGATGAGGAGGAAGAGGGGGGAGGAGAGAGAGAAAGAGAGAGAGAGATAATTGAGAGAGAGAGAGAGGGAGAGAAAGAGAGAGAGAGAGAGAGCGAGAGAGAGGTGAAAGAGGAGAGAAGAGGAATACAAAGGAAAGAGGAGGGAGAGAGAGAGAGAGAGAGAGAGAGGGAGAGCGAGAGAGAGAGAGAGAGAGAAAGAGAGAGAGAGAGAGAAAGGGCTCTTCCGCCTCCTCGCCGCGGCCCGCGGCTGAGGGCTTTTTTTCTCCTCGAGGCCCCCGCCGAGGAGAGCCGCGGGCGCGGCGCGCGCATGGTCCATGGCCCAGCGTCGAGGAGACGAGGCTCCGCGCCAGGCCCACGGACATAATGAGCTGATTATGTTGAGATCTCAACATAATGAGCTCATTATGTTGAGCAAGGAACGATGAAAAGGAAGAGGAGGAGGAGGAGAGAGGAGGAGGGGGAGGAGAGAGGAGGAAGAGGTTGGAGGCTGGAGAACGAGGGGGAGGAGGAGGAGGAGGAGGAGGAGGAGGAGGAGAAGGAGAACGGGGAGGACCACCGCGACCGAAGCGATCCCGATCGCTTCGATGACGATCGAAGCGATCGCGATAGCAATGTTCGCCGAGGCGCTGAGGCGTTGGCCATTTTCACGAAAATGATCAAGAACCCGACAGATTTCGATTACTCCTGCGACATGGAGTCCCTGCCCAACTTCGACCAGCTAAAAAAAAAACACGGAGTTTCTGAACATGTTGAGGGTCGACGTGGAGGCCCATCAGGGCCCGCTGGTGCAGAAACCACTCCAGAACTTGTTCGAAGAATTCGCGAATTCAAAGGAGAGCTCTTGGAAGTTGGCGGACAAGAAAAAAGGTTGGGCTAAGTCAAAGGCCCAGATGGTGCGCGCCATGCTGAGGCACGTATCGCAAGCAATGTTGAAAGTGAAGGACCCTCGGAAAGCGCCAGAGTGGTTGGTCCCGTTCTTCGAGGCGGATGAACAGGCCACGCGGGGTTTAAATTTTCTGGGGCCGTAGTGCAGAACATGGGCAGGCAAGGGGGCAGCATTTGTTAGGACAGGGATGGGGGAGGGCCATTGGCAGCGCGGCCGAGCTCAGGAGTTCAGGTCTGTCGACCCCTGGGCGGGGGCGCGGCGCCATCTTCCATGCTGCAGCCTCCACTCCAGCCATCCCTTCTCTCTCACTCCTTTGTGCATTCCTTTCTTCCCTGTTTGATTCCTTGCGTTCGCCCTTCCATCGCCCTGCCCACTTGGATTTCGACTGCTTTCTTTTTCTCTCTTCAGAGGGGGGAAGATGGTGATATACATGATTC